TTAAAAGACAGTCCATATGTTTACTGAATTGATTTTCCTGGACAAACGGAAGGAAAATGTAAAATAAAAGAATAGGAAACTCTACAAATGACTCTCATCTGGTGCCGTTTTGCAATGGTATCCTGTTGACACCTCACTTTATGGCCTGGTTAAAAATTTCAAGCAGACTTGACTGGGAATTATTAGCAGAGGAAATAACTTTGGGCTCAGGGACAGTAGTGGGATTGAAAAAAATGTTTTATCTCTTTCAGTCTATTAAAGTGAGTTACACGTATGGATTTTCTAATATTAAACCATTCTGGTACTTCTGGAATTAATCCATGTTGATTGTGGTTGTGTGTGTGTGTGTGTGTGTGTTTTAATTTTAATTACATTTAATGTAAAATTCAGTGACATTCAGTACATTCACAACGTTGTGCAACCATTTCCACAAATGTTTCATCATCCCCAAAAGAAACTCTGCATCTATTAAACAATAACTCTCCATTCTCCCCTCCCAGAGCCCCTAGTAATCTGTGTTCTTCTTTCTGGCTCTGTATGAGTTTGCCGATTCTAAGTACCTCATATAACTGAACACCTACAACAGTTGTCCTTCTGTGTCTGGCTTATTTCACTTAGCATAACGCTTTCAAGATTTACTCGTGTTGTAGCATGTATCAGAATTTCATTCTTTTTTAAGGATGAATAATATTCTACTGCACGTATATATCACATTTTGGCTTTTAATTCACCTGCGGATGAATTTTTGGGTTGTTTCCATCTTTTCGGTATTGTGAATAATGCCAGCAGCAGAGTTTTTGCTGGGAAAAGAAATGGGTGTGCTTGTCCTTCTGCATGTCTTTACTCACTTTGTGGTTGCTTTGTGTTGAGAGGAATGGTTGGGATTTGAATCTTGTCCCTGTCCCCAGTGCCTCTGTCTAAATGGGAATCCTGTGCCCCCTGTCATAGCAGATGGCTAGTACAATGGTTCAACCTATAGTTTTGGAATCAGACAGCTGTGAGTTGAAATCCTGCTTCCCCGACTCCCAAGCTAGTGGAACTTTGGCAAGCTTCTCAACCCCTCTGAGCCTCGGTTGCCCCATTTGTGGGAGGGAGGCTGTTACACCTCCCTGGGAGAGTTACTGCAAGAATTAAGGTAGTGTCTGAACAGCCCGTAGCTCAGTGGGGCCTGTGCTGAGAGATCGACTGCGTAGAAAGCACTCAGTGGCCGGTGGCCATTGTCATCGCTGATGAGAAGCACCAAGCAGAACACTGTAGGGGGAGAGCTCTTGCCCTTAGACGGTCCCCTTACAAAGTAGAGGCTGCTGGGACAAGCACTCCTTGCTGATGAGAAGACTGAGACACTTAGAATGTCAGAGCAGGAGGGACCTTAGTGGGACCTCAGATGTCTGATCGTTGGTGTCACGTGGGGAGCTTGATGACGCAGATTCATGGTCTCCACTTCAGGCCAATGAATCTCCAGGGAGAAGCTCGGAAATACACATTGAAAAAAATCTGAGATGACGTCAAGGAGCTGCCATGCTTGGGAGCCTCTTCCTTGTCCACTCCTATTATAACAACCCTACATACCCATCTCTGGAGTTAAGGCTTCTGTAGAAACTGGACCTCTGCTTCATCTTAGTTTAAGATCTGTGCGACTGAGGAAGGCATCGTTGGTTTTTCAGGAACCCATTGTTTTTGGAAACTTGCCTCTCAAAAATTAATTACGGAAATGTCATAAAAAGGTGAAAGATTTTTGAGGAGAGTCAGACATAAAAATTACATTTTGCAAATTGTACTTGGAAAGAATTATTTTAATTGAAAGAGCTATTCCCAAGGCTAAATCCTGAATGTTCCTATAACCTCAGAGTGTTCAGTTCATCCTTGTCAACTGCTTTCTCCTCAGATGTAGCCTAAATATACCACTTAAGTAAGAGCTTCTTAGCGGCTGCTGCTTGGGGACTATGTATGTGAACCCCGAGCGGTGAATCATTGCAGAGAATTTGGTAACCACGGCAGGCCAGCAGGCAGATAATTTGGGGGCCCAAGAAATTGCACTTCCTTCTTTGTCTTTGTGAGAGGCTGTCTGTCCAAAGAGACAGCTATCTCTCCAGCAAGCTTGAAGGCAGCCCTACGAGTTGGCTTTATTCAGTCATTCATCCATTCATTCCACAAATATTTATGAAATGCCTGCTGTGTGCCAGGCACTGTGGAGCTAGGGACGTACTGGTGAATCACACTGACACAATCCCTGCAAAGTTAGAGGTTAATATTGAAGGGAAAGACAGACTTTGTATGGGTAATTACAAGTGTGAATCATGTTATGAAAAAAGAAGCCATGGGTGCCATGGAAGCACGACCCAACACCTTGAATAAGAAATGAGGCGAGAGACGGCTTCTCCCTGGGTCCTTCTGAAGGATGAGTCATTGGCATTTGTCTCTTGGTGTTATCAAACTGGAATACACAAAAAATTAATACAGGCTATGTCTGTGGTACTAACACTACTAGGTGAGGAATATTACCTGTCTGATGAGAAATAACTGATTTGTCCATTTTGATGTCCATTAAATATAACAATTGTGTGCGTAAATTTGACGTGACTTTTCTCACATGTAAAAAATAAATTTGGATCCTGGGAGGCAGTGATGGGAAGCTCAGTCAGGAGGCTATTGGAATAGGCAACAGGGACCTGAGCCTTGAAAAGTGACAGTGATCACGGAGAAGCACAGGTGATGGTGTAACGTTTGAAAAGTATGAACCATGTGCTTTTAGTTTCTTGCATTTCTCTCCAGCTCTTGCTAATTCTCTATTTGTCTTAGAAGAAATTCAGAGAAAAGAATCTCTTCCTGATTTTGAGTTTCAAAAGCCTGACCCTCAGAAGAACAGGAAGGGTTTGAGTTGCGTAAGAGGAAATCTTCTGGCTCCTAATGCTAGAAGAGATTCCCAGGTGTGCGAATCATTGCCCTCCTGCTCCAAGACCCATTGCTCAGCCCTCCACTGCTCCCTGTGTATCTCAGCATTGACCGCTGCAGACTCCATCCCGGGCTCTCCTGCCTGTCTGGCCTCTGAGTCAGTTTGTCTAAGGTGTGGCACAGACATTGTATCAGACCATGAGAGGAGGGAGACTTCAGGGAATTTCTTCTTCTGTTCTCTTTGCTTCCGCTGGCATCTCTGACTGCATTGGCATCACCTCTGTGGTTCCAGCTCCCAGCAGGCAGCCCCTTCCTCTCTGCTTCCAGCCTGTAGGGAGCATCTGGGCTCTCGAAACACTCCCTGCAGCTCTGCAGGTGTTTCATTGTCTCCTGATGGCCTTGTCAGTTTTTCTAACACCTTTGTAACTGGTTCTCCACATTAAAAGCCCTCAAAGCAACCTAAATTCTGTTTTCCTGACTGGATGCTGACTGATAACCCTGAAGTCTTCAAGAGGGCCCACAAGGAAGAAGAGACATGGATGGGTTCTGGGTTGAAAAAGCAGACCTGAAGGGCCCATGTGGACCAGACAGGAGTTTCTCTAAGATACCACCTGGCCTCCATTTGAGCACCCATTCAAGCGAGCACCATGGATTGCAGCACGTGGGAGCTGTGGGAATCGAATCCTTAGACCATTAATTGTTCTTACCTTTGGCAACTGGCAAAGATTCCGCTTGGCCAGTAGCTGCAGTGACCTTGTTTGTGCCCCAAACCGTAGCCCTATATAGACAACCCCCGTTCAAGACTTCCAAAACACTCCTAAGTCCTCAAGACAGAGGATGGGGTCCTAGCCTCTAATATACCTCAGCCCAGGCCACATACAGTAAGAATATTTGCATCTCATGTTGCCTTCTGTTCAAGAACTGAGAAAGTTAGAACTGGAAATTACCTGAGAGACCATGTAATCCAAATTTTTCATTTGGCAGATAAGGAGGTTGAGGATCAGGGAAGGAATTTCAGCTGCCCAAAAACTCCTAGCTCGTCTTGCATCAATTACATTTTGGTGAATATTAGCATCTTTTATGGAGAATCTCCACCGGTACCTTTTATACCCTGCATAATCACATATATTCTAAATTTTAAATTATTTTGTGTTTGAGAATAGAAAGCAGCTACTGAACAGAAGTTTGCATGTGCCTATATCTTTATCTATTCATGCATATTCGGTGGTATAAAAATGTCAAAAGTCTATTTTGGGATTCTGCAAAAGAGAACTCTTTCCGGAATGACACTTGAACTGTTAAATATCATCTCAAATCTCATTTTGGGGGCTATAACCTTCTAAAAGCCTGGCATAAGACTAAAGTGGATTAAGGTTGAAATTTTCCAGAGGCTTTGTCTCAAACCAGTGAAGTACTTCCAATCACTTTCTTTCATTATCAAAACCAGAACGGTTTCTGAATCTCCTGGTCCACCGTTATTATTTAGAAGAATTGTGACCATAGTTGAGAGAATAATTGCTGAACAGACTTCTTGCTATCAAAACAAATTTAGAAGGGGGAAAAAAAACCTGCATCCTTAACTTTATTAGATAGCTAGATCATCTTTTTAAGAAGGGCAGTGACTGCTAATTATTTTGCTCTTCCTCCAGTTTTCTAAACAAGGAATAAATTCTGAGAACTCAGTGTTGAAGGTTTCAACTGTTTTGTGTTTAGGATCCTGAGCAATATGTCTGAATAGTTGAAAGACATATGCATTTTGCAACACTCTCCCCACCCCCAGGAATGAACTCTTCATCTTTAACAAGGTGATCTGTCCAGGCCTAGGTAGATTATCTGTGAGATAATTTGGTAGGTAAATGCAAAACCAAGATCATCTCTATTCCATTCCTTGTGAAATTCCAAGCGGCATTACTAAGGACTCAGGCATAAAAGTTTAGAATCTGTGTCTTTGCATGAATTTAATCATCTCCATCAGAATCCTTAAGGAATTACAATAACAGTGATTCATTCATAATTCACAATTTCCATTATCTTCTTTCTACATCTAGTGTGGGGGGTAAAATTTATGGCTTCATTTACATTGTGTTCTATGAATAATAGAAGAAATACAGTAAAGACCCATGGAAATGTTCTTGCTGCTGACGCTGTTTGGAACACATCTGCATCACAATAGCCTTCTCGCCTTCCACAGTGCAGGATCCGCCGAGCTTGCAGCTGCGAGGGGAGCATTTCAAAGGGGCCATTCTCATTATACAGAGCCTTCTCTTTCTTTGAACTTCAAAGCAGAATGAGGAGACCTTAAATGATATGGGGTAGGTATGTGATGAAATTGTTACTTCAGGTATAAATATCCTCAATTATGTGTTTATGGGGAAACAGTCATTCAGTGGAGCAAATATGTTTGCTCAGAATGATATCTGACTGGCAGCCAGGAACAAATTTAATCTTAAGATTTCTTTGAGCTGTTGGGGCCTTAAGGATAATCTAAACCAAAGCCCTCCTTTTGCAAAAGGGGAAATCAAGGCATAGAGACATAAAATGACTTATTCAAGGTCACATAATGGAGGGAGGGTCAGAAACACAAATTCCTTGCTCCTGGTCCAGTGCTCTTTCCAGGATATCACGTTACCTTTGTTTTAAACACAAAGCACCTGGCTTTGTGACACAGCAATGAAGCTAGGAGTAATCCTCTTGGCGAGGGATTTTCAAACATGGAGCGAAGACATTTTCAAGGATTTCTCCCTTAAATAATAATCTCTCTCAATTGAAAATCTTCCTGACAAACATTTTGAGATTTGAAGAAAGAAATTTGTCATACTTCTGCGATTAAGTAAATCTCATTTTTCTTCTCCCAAGGAATGACAATAAAGCTGACGAAAACCTTACGACATTCAGATTTCTTCCCCCGGTGTCTAGTGGTTGCGTAGAGCAATACTTTCTCACTATTCCATCCACAAAAGAACAAAAACTAGCCTATATTTAAAGAGTGGTCTGTCCTTTGAATCAGGAGCTTTCCAACGACCATATGGAGCATGACCCAGCCAAGCCAAACCCCCTCCACATGGTAGGGGTTCAAGGCATTTTCGTGAAAACTTAAATTAAAAAATGTGCTTTTACTTGTAGATTTTGTTGGCTACAAAGAGTCATTTCTAAAACCTGTTATGTTCATCACTCCCTTCCCTGTGCCATGCTTCCTACTTCCCCATCCCTGGTCTTTTCCTATTTTGTTTTTGAAGAGAACACAAATCATGGAAAATCATTATATAGAAAGGCCTTGGGAGGGATGTCTTGTTTCTTACAGGAGACTCACAAAGCGTGCTCTGTCTCTAATTTTATTAAAGTAATTCAGATATCATGTTAGAAGGGAGGCCTTTTGTAGCTGGAAAGGGCAACTGATATTAGTAGGCAAAACACATACAAATTCAACAGCGCGGTGATTCACAGACGCATATTCTCTGTGATCCAACATGTCTAATACATTTAGTCATGCACAATAAAAACCAAACAAAAGAATCAACTATCGGCCTTTCACTGCCCGCTTCCCACCCCAAGTTTTAAGGAATTCCTCCAGTTATGCACAAAACAAAATCATGGTCCCCCCACCCCAAGTCAGAAGGAAAACTCAAAGCGCATCTACTCTAGACAAGGAAGGAAAAAAAGAGCAGATCGCTTTATTTACCTTCCTGTGCTAAGTGCTTGCATTGCCCTAAAGGAAGTGTAATTTGGCAGCAAGGTGATCTCACTCTATAGAGAATTCTAGTAGGTACCGACAGAGTGTGACCAATAGCAGCAAACTTGGATTTCTATGGAACTTTGTAAACTAGCCAAGATCCAATCTTATTGCCCATTTCAAAAGTCCACCCGCTAAACTAAATTCAACCTGATTAAGACACTCCTTCAATTCCAGGGTAAATCAGTGTCTGCTTTTTACATACTAGGCTGTCATTCACTCTGTTACAAGATCTGCTTACTAAGTGTAGGATGAAGACCAGGTTTTTGATTTTGACTTGTATGACTCCCGAGGAGTCTAAGAACCTGCTGGTCTACTGGATCCCTCTCCTTCCCATAAACTATGCTTTTTCCCCACCCACCACAATGGGATGGGGATGGGCAATTAAATCTATACAGACGTGCAAACCTTGTTTCTGGACCCTGCTTCTCTTCAATCTGGTTATAGAAACTCAAGTTTTGTCTGTTTAATTCTACTCTGACTATTCTTTTCTGAAAGACACATGCATGTAAAATAAAGCTATTAACTTTATTTTACAGACAGCAGAGAGAGAGAGAGAGAGAGAGAGAGAGTTTCTACTTTGTGGGTGCACAAAGCAATCTGCGTTTTTCTCTGGGTGATTGCCTTTTTATTCCACTTTATTTTAGTTATGTATTATTTATTTTGGTTGACGTAGTTAAGAGCAAGCAAGAGCAAACTTGTAGTTAGTGCCTGAGAAATCCATGCAAGGTTGGCAATTTGGTGGCTTAAGGGTAGACATAAAATGTCCAGACAGAAGTCCCGGCAATCAGGCTGTTTAGGTCAGTAGTTTCCAACTGGGGGCGATTTGGCCCCCAGGGGACATTTGGCAATGTCTGGAGACACTTTCGATAGTCACAACTGGGGAAGACTTGCCAGCTGCGTCTAGCAGGTAGAAACCAGGGATGCTGCCGCCCCACCTGCCGTGCGCAGGACAGACCCCACAGCAAAGAATCACCCCGCCCCAAATGTCAATAGCGCAGTGGTTGAGAAACCCTGCTCTCGATCAAGTCTCACCCAGAATATTGTGTCTGGTTTCAAGGCCAATTCTTTAGTAAAAATCCTGCCACTCTGGAGCTTGTCTCAGGTGTGTGGCTGGAAGGTGGGGGGACTTGATATTATCAAACACGATGAGGCGGAGGGGACCAAGGCTGTTTGGGCCAGAAAAAAAGAGGCTCAGAAGACACGGAAGTTGGTTCTATTACTTCAGAGGCTGAATTGAAAGCCACAGGGAGAGAGATTTTGGCGTCACATGAGAAAGTCATTTCAAACAATCAAAGTTACCAGGAGTAGAATAAGCTCCCTTGTGAAATAATGGGTATCCTGTTAGTGGGTAAGTTGAAGCAGACCCACGAGTACTGTTTCCTTAGAATGGAAGCTCCCTGAGAGCAGCCAGGTGCTCATCTTCCGCACCACTGTTTCCCCAGGGACTCGCACAGAGTCAAGATAGAGTAGATACTGAATAAGTGATTATTGAATGAACAATTATTACTCATCGAAGGTATTTATCAAAGACATTGTAGACGACATTCAAGGATAGAAAGACTTTCATTTTTCTTTTTCGTTTGGCCTCATATTTCTAGCTGACTCTTAGGAAATATGTTATCTGAATTTTAAGATAATAGTAAGCAGAACTGAGAACCAGCAGAACTCGATAGAATAATTTTAAGCTATATTGGGGAATTCATTTTCAGAGACTATGAATCCATATGTAACCACGCATTGACATGAAAGTTGTGTCCCACTTTCAACAACTCCAACATAGTAGATAACCTAGAGGATATATATTTTTAACTTTTTATTGAAGTATTACATACAAACAGAGAAGTGTACATGAGATAAGTCTACAGTTTGTTGAACTTATTTTTCTTTTTAGGTATGCTTTTTTTTGATGAGGAAGATTTGCCTTGAGCTAACATCTGCTGCCAATCTTCTTTTTTTTTTTTTCGCCAAAGCACCAGTACATAGTGGTGTATCCTGGTGGTAAGTCCTTCTAGTTCTTCTGTATGGGATGCTGCCACAGCATGGCTTGATGAGCGGTGAATAGGTCAGCACTCAGGATCCGAACCAGCGAACCCTGGGCAGCCAAGGTGGAAGCACAAACTTAACCACTACGCCACGAGGCGGAACCCTGTTGAACTTATTTATTTATTTAATTTTACTTTTTCTAGCTTTATTGAGTTATGATTGACCTATATCATTGTGTAATTTTAAGATGTACAAAGTGATGATTTGATACACGTATACATTGCAAAATGATTACCACAATAAGGTTAGTTAGCACATTCATCGCCTCACACGATTACAATTTCTTTTGGTGATGATAACAGTTAAGATCTACTTTCTTAGAAGCTCTCAAGTATGTAATATTGTTAACTACAATCACCACGCTGAATATTAGATTCCATAACTTGTTCATCTTATAACTGGAAGTTTATACCCTTTGACCATACAGTTTGTTGAACTTTTAGAAGCTGAACATCCCCATGACTCTACTACCTAGAGGGAGAGCCTGAACATTTCTAGCACCCCAAACCCCTATTTGTGTTCCCTGCGGTCACCATCCCCCGAAGGGAAGCCACTCTTATGACTTCTAACAGCATTGAATAGTTTTACCTAATTTTATGCTTTATATCAACGAATGAGTGTGTGTACTCTTCTGTTTCTGTCTTCCTTCACTCAACTCTATGCTTGTGAGATGCATCCAAATTCTTATGTGTGGTCGTAGATTGTTTACTCTCATTAAAGAAAAGTATTCTATTGTGTGACTGTACTATAAGTTATTTATCTTTTTAGTCCTTGGTGGGCATTTGAGTAATTTCCAGTTTGGGACTATTATGAGGAGTGTCGCTATGAACATTCTAGAACGTGCTTGTATCCTTTATGTATTGCGGTGTACAAAACCACAACAACAAACCAACAATGGTGTATCATTTGTTATGATTCTGTGGATTGGCTTGGCAGTTCCTCTGCAGATTCTTTCTGGGCTCATCATGCACTATATTCAGCTGCAATGGAAGGTTCGAGATGGCCTCACTCACATTTGCAGTTGGTGCTGGCTGTCAGCTGAGGCGTCTTGCATCTTCTCCACATGGGCATAGCAGTCTCAGAGCAGTGTTCCAAGGGGGTGAAAGCAAAAGCTACAAGACATCTTGAGGTCTAGGCTCTGGAACTTGCACACTGTCATGTCTGCCACATGGCCAGCCCAAATTTAAGAGGCTGGGAAATAGACTCCACCTTTGAATGGGAGGGGCTGCTAAAAATTGTGGCCATGCTGTTAAATCTATCACCATATCTTTTGGTGACTATTTTACACATTTCTGTTGTGGCTGGGTCACAGGTTGGGAGATGTTGTCACACAGTTTTCCAAAGTGGTTGCCCAGTTTCTACTCCCACTAGCACATATGAGAGTTTGGGTTTCTCCACATCTTTGCCAACGCTCAGTGTTTTGGAAGCCATTTTGTTTTATAAAGATTCTTTTCTAATTGAATCAACGCGAAGCTACTTCCAAACAGTCAGCTCCCTCATTACAAATTTAAACCTCATTTTCAAAATGTATTTTAT